AAGACTGACAACAGTGACAACAATTAAAACGGTGACAACAGTGACAAAGATGACAACAGTTACAACGGTGACAACAGTGACAACAGTGAAAAAGAGTGAGAATGGTGACAAGACTGACAACAGTGACAACAATTAAAAGGGTGACAACAGTGACAAAGGTGACAACAGTTACAACGGTGACACAGTGACAACGGTGACAACGGTGACAACAGTGACAAGAGTGACAATGGTGACAACGGTGTCAACAGTGAAAATGGTTACAACGCTGACAACAGTGACAACACTGACAACCGTGACAACGGTTACAACAGTGACAGTGAGAATGGTGACATTGGTGACAACTGTGACAACGGTGACAACGGTTAGAACAGTTACAACGGTGACAATAGTGACAACGGTGACAACGGTGACAACGGTCAGAACAGTGACAACGGTGACAAAAGGGACAATAGTGACAACCATGACAACAGTGACAACGGCTACAACGGTGACAACCCTGACAACAGTGACCACATTGACAATGGTACCAGTGGCTACAACAGTGATAAAAAGTGTGAGAACGGTGACAACACAGACAACAGTAAGAAGGGTTAAAATGGTGACAACAGTGTCAACGGTGACAACAGTTACAACGGTGACAACAGTGACAAAGGTGAAAACAGTCACAACAGTGACAATGGTGACAAAGGTGACAACGGTGACACTAGTGACAACACTGACAATGGTAACAACAGTGACAACAGGGAATAGGGTGACAACGGTGAAAACAATGACTACAGTGACAACACTGACAACAGTGACAACGGTGACAACACTGGCAATGGTGACAACGGTGACAACGGTGACACCGGTGACAATGGTGACAACAGTGACAACTGTGACAACAGTGACAACGGTGACAACAGTGACAACAGCGACAACAGCGAGTAAAGTGACAACAGTGACAATGATGACAACGGTGACAATGGTGTCAACGGTGACAACAGTGACAACAGTGACAACAGTGACAATGGTGACAACCGTGACTACACAGACAACTGTGACAAAAAATAACGGTGACAACCGTGAGAATGGTGATATCAGTGAAAACGGTGACAATCGTGACAAGTGACGAGAGTGACAATGGTGACAATGATGACAACGGTGACATCGGTGACAACGGTGACAACAGTGACAACTGTGACAAGAGTGACGAAAGTGAAAACGGTGACTACAGTGACAACGGTGACAACGGTGACATTAGTGACAATGGTGACAATAGTGACAACAGTGACAAGAGTGACAATACTGACGACACTGACAACCGTGACAACCGTGACAACAATGACAACGATGACAACGGTGACAACGGTGACAACAGTGACAATTGTTAAAACGCTGACAACAGTGACAACGGTGAGAACAGTTACAATGGTGACAAAGGTGACAATCGTGAGAATGATGATCTCAGTGAAAACGGTGACAATCTTTACAACGGTGTTAATGGTGACAAAAGTGACAACAGTGACAACGGTGACAACGGTGACACCGGTGACAATGGTGACAACAGTGACAACAGTGACAACAGTGACAACGGTGACAACAGTTACAACAGTGACAACAACGACAACAGTGACAACAGTGACAACTGTGACAACGGTGACAACAATGACAATGAAGACAACGGTGACAACGGCGACAACAGCCAGTAAAGTGACAACAGTGACAACGATGGTAACGATGACAACGGTCACAACGGTGACAACAGTGACAACAGTGACAACGGTGACAACAGTGACAACCATGACAGCGGTGACAACAGTGAGAACAGTGACAACGATGACACTGGTGACAACGATGACAGCGGTGACAATGGTGACCACCCTGAGAATGGTGATATCGGTGAAAATGGTGACAATCATGACAACGGTGACAACAGTGACAACCATGACAACGGTGACCACAGTTAAAACAGTGACAACGGTGAGAAGAGTTAAAACAGTGACAACGGTGACAACAGTTAAAACAGTGACAACGGTGACAACTGTGGCAACAGTGACAACTGTTACAATGGTGAGAACCATTACAAAGTTGACAATGGTGAAAACCATGACAACGGTGACAACAGTGACAGCAGTGACAATGGTGACAACGGTGATAAAAAGTGTGAGAACGGTGACATTACACAGACAACAGTAAGAAGGGTTAAAATGGTGACAACAGTGTCAACGGTGACAACAGTGACAAGTGTGACAATGGTGACAACGGTGAAAACACTGACAGTGGTGACAACAGTGACAACGGTGACAACGGTGACTACGTTGACAAAACTGACAACAGTTACAACGGTGACAACAGTGACAACAGCGAGAAAAGTGACAACAGTGACAACAATGACAACGGTGACAATGGTGACAACGGTGACAACGGTGACCACGGTGACAAAGGTGACAACAGTGTCAACAGTGACAACGGTAACAACAGGGACAACAGTGACAAAGGGTGAGAACGGTAACAAGACTGACAACAGCTGACAAGAATTAAAATGGTGACAACCATGACAATGGTGACAACAGTTACAAAGGTGACAACGGTGACAACAGTGACAATGGTGAGAACGGTGACAACAGTGACAACGGTGAGAACGGTGACAACAGTGACAATGGTGACAGTGGTGACAACAGTAACAACAGTGAGAAGGATGACAACAGTGACAACAGTGACAACGGTGACAACGGTGACAACAGTGACAACAATGAAAAAGAGTGAGAACGGTGACAAGACTGACAACAGTGACAACAATTAAAACGGTGACAACAGTGACAAAGGTGACAACAGTTACAACGGTGACAACAGTGACAACAGTGAAAAAGAGTGAGAACGGTGACAAGACTGACAACAGTGACAACAATTAAAACGGTGACAACAGTGACAAAGGTGACAACAGTTACAACGGTGACACAGTGACAACGGTGACAACGGTGACAACAGTGAGAAGAGTGACAATGAAGACAACGGTGTCAACAGTGACAACAGTGACAACGGTCACAACGGTCACAACAGTGACAACGGTGACAAAAGGGACAACAGCGACAACAGCAACAATGGCGACAACAGTGACAACGGCTACAATGGTGACAACCATGACAACGGTGACAACAGTGACAACAGTGGCAACGGTAACAATGGCGACAACAGTGAAAAAAAATGACACTGGTGACAACACTGACAACAGTGACAACAGTTAAAACGGTTACAACAGTTACAACGGTGACAATAGTGACAACGGTGACAGAAGTGAAAATGGTGACGACTGTGACAAGAGTGACAACACTAACAATGAAGACAACGGTGACAAGAGTGACAACGGTGACAACAGTCACAACAGTGACAATGGTGACAAAAGGGACAACAGTCACAACAGTAACAATGGCGACAACAGTGAAAAAGGTGAAAATGGTGACAACGGTGACAAGAGTGACAACACTGACAACGATCACAACGGTCACAACGGTCACAACAGTGACAACGGTGACAAAAGGGACAACAGTGACGACAGCAACAATGGCGACAACAGTGACAACGGCTACAATGGTGAAAACCCTGACAACGGTGACAACAGTGACAACAGTGGCAACGGTAACAATGGCGACAACAGTGAAAAACAATGACACCGGTGACAACAATCACAACAGTGACACCGGTTAAAACGGTGACAACAGTGACAACGGTGACAACAGTTACAAAAGTCAAAACAGTGACAACAGTGACGATGGTGACGACGGTGAAACTAGTGAACACACTGACAACGGTAACAACAGTGACAACAGGGAATAGGGTGACAACGGTGAAAACAATGACTATAGTGACAACACTCACAACAGTGACAATGGTGACAATGGTGACAACACTGGCAATAGTGAGAAAGGTGACAACGGTGACAATGGTGACAACAGTGACAACAGTGACAACAGTGAAAACGGTGACAACGGTTACATCGGTGACAACAGTAACAACAGTGACAACAACGACAACAGTGTCAACAGTGACAACTGTGACAACGGTGACAACAATGACAATGATGACAACGGTGACAACAGTGACAACAGCGACAACAGCGAGTAAAGTGACTACAGTGACAAGGATGACAACGGTTACAACATTGACAACAGTGACAACAGTGACAATAGTGACAACAGTCACAACTGTGACAACACTGACAACGGTGACAACGGTGAGAACCGTGACTACACAGACAACGGTGACAATAGTGACAACAGTGACAACAGTCACAACAGTGACAATGGTGACAAAAGGGACAACAGTGACAACAGTAACAATGGCGACAACAGTGAAAAAGGTGAAAATGGTGACAACGGTGACAACAGTGACAACAGTGGCAACGGTCACAACGGTGACATTAGTGACAATGGTGACAATAGTGACAACAGTGACAACAGTGACAATACTGACGACACTGACAACCGTGAGAACGGTGACAACAATGACAACAATGACAACGATGACAACACTGACAACTTCGACAACAGCGAGTAAAGTGACAACAGTGACAACGATGACAACGGTGACAACGGTGACAACAGTGACAACTGTTAAAACGCTGACAACAGTGACAACGGTGAGAACAGTTACAATGGTGAGAAAGGTGACAATCGTGAGAATGATGATATCAGTGAAAACGGTGACAATCTTGACAACGGTGTAAATGGTGACAAAAGTAACAACAGTGACAACGGTGACAACGGTGACACCGGTGACAATGGTGACAACAGTGACAACAGTGACAACAGTGACAACGGTGACAACAGTTACAACAGTGACAACAACGACAACAGTGACAACAGTGACAACTGTGACAACGGTGACAACAATGACAATGAAGACAACGGTGACAACGGCGACAACAGCCAGTAAAGTGACAACAGTGACAACGATGGTAACGGTGACAACGGTCACAACGGTGACAACAGTGACAACAGTGACAACGGTGAGAACCGTGACTACACAGACAACGGTGACAACGGTGACAACCGTGAGAATGGTGATATCGGTGAAAACGGTGACAATCGTGACAATGGTGACAAAGGTGACAAGAGTGAACATGGTGACAATGATGACAACGGTGACATCGGTGACAACGGTGACAACAGTGACAACACTGATAATGGTGACAGTGGTGACAATGGTGACAACAGTGACAATGGTGACAATAGTGGCAATGGTGACAACGGTGACAACGGTGACAACGGTGACAACCGTGACAACAGTGACAACAATGACAACAATAACAACGATGACAACACTGACAACTTCAACAACAGCGAGTAAAGTGACAACAGTGACAATGATGACAACGGTCACAACGGTCACAAAAGTGACAACGGTTAAAACGGTGACAACAGTGACAACAGTGACAACAGTTACAATGGTGACAACAGTGACAAAGGTGACAATTGTGAGAATGGTGATATTGGTGAAAACGGTGACAATCTTGACAACGGTGTTAACGGTGACAACAGTGACAACAGTGACAACGGTGACAACAGTGACAACCATGACAACGGTAACCACAGTTAAAACAGTGACAACGGTGAGAAGAGTTAAAACAGTGACAACGGTGACAACAGTTAAAACAGTGACAACGGTGACAACTGTGGTAACAGTGACAACTGTTACAATGGTGAGAACCATTACAAAGTTGACAATGGTGAAAACCATGACAACGGTGACAACAGTGACAGCAGTGACAATGGTGACAACGGTGACAACGGTGATAAAAAGTGTGAGAACGGTGACAACACAGACAGCAGTAAGAAGGGTTAAAATGGTGACAACAGTGTCAACGGTGACAACAGTGACAACAGTGACAATGGTGACAACGGTGAAAACACTGACAATGGTGACAACAGTGACAATGGTGACAACGGTGACTACGTTGACAAAACTGACAACAGTTACAACGGTGACAACAGTGACAACAGCGAGAAAAGTGACAACAGTGACAACAATGACAACGGTGACAACGGTGACAACGGTGACCACGGTGACAACGGTGACAACAGTGTCAACAGTGACAACGGTAACAACAGGGACAACAGTGACAAAGGGTGAGAACGGTAACAAGACTGACAACAGCTGACAAGAATTAAAATGGTGACAACCATGACAATGGTGACAACAGTTACAAAGGTGACAACGGTGACAACAGTGACAATGGTGAGAACGGTGACAACAGTGACAACGGTGAGAACGGTGACAACAGTGACAATGGTGACAGTGGTGACAACAGTAACAACAGTGAGAAGGATGACAACAGTGACAACAGTGACAACGGTGACAACGGTGACAACAGTGACAACAATGAAAAAGAGTGAGAACGGTGACAAGACTGACAACAGTGACAACAATTAAAACGGTGACAACAGTGACAAAGGTGACAACAGTTACAACGGTGACAACAGTGACAACAGTGAAAAAGAGTGAGAATGGTGACAAGACTGACAACAGTGACAACAATTAAAACGGTGACAACAGTGACAAAGGTGACAACAGTTACAACGGTGACACAGTGACAACGGTGACAACGGTGACAACAGTGAGAAGAGTGACAATGAAGACAACGGTGTCAACAGTGACAACAGTGACAACGGTCACAACGGTCACAACAGTGACAACGGTGACAAAAGGGACAACAGCGACAACAGCAACAATGGCGACAACAGTGACAACGGCTACAATGGTGACAACCATGACAACGGTGACAACAGTGACAACAGTGGCAACGGTAACAATGGCGACAACAGTGAAAAAAAATGACACTGGTGACAACACTGACAACAGTGACAACAGTTAAAACGGTTACAACAGTTACAACGGTGACAATAGTGACAACGGTGACAGAAGTGAAAATGGTGACGACTGTGACAAGAGTGACAACACTAACAATGAAGACAACGGTGACAAGAGTGACAACGGTGACAACAGTCACAACAGTGACAATGGTGACAAAAGGGACAACAGTCACAACAGTAACAATGGCGACAACAGTGAAAAAGGTGAAAATGGTGACAACGGTGACAAGAGTGACAACACTGACAACGGTCACAACGGTCACAACGGTCACAACAGTGACAACGGTGACAAAAGGGACAACAGTGACGACAGCAACAATGGCGACAACAGTGACAACGGCTACAATGGTGAAAACCCTGACAACGGTGACAACAGTGACAACAGTGGCAACGGTAACAATGGCGACAACAGTGACAACAGTGACAACAGTTACAATGGTGACAACAGTGACAAAGGTGACAATTGTGAGAATGGTGATATTGGTGAAAACGGTGACAATCTTGACAACGGTGTTAACGGTGACAACAGTGACAACAGTGACAACGGTGACAACAGTGACAACCATGACAGCGGTGACAACAGTGACAACAGTGACAACGATGACAACGGTGACAACGGTGACAGCGGTGACAATGATGACCACCCTGAGAATGGTGATATCGGTGAAAATGGTGACAATCATGACAACGGTGACAACAGTGACAACCATGACAACGGTGACAACAGTTAAAACAGTGACAACGGTGAGAACAGTTAAAACAGTGACAACGGTGAGAACAGTTAAAACAGTGACAACGGTGACAACTGTGGCAACAGTGACAACTGTGACAATGGTGAGAACCATTACAAAGTTGACAATGGTGAAAACCATGACAACGGTGACAACACTGACAATGGTGACAACAGTGAGAACGGTGACAACGGTGACTACGGTGACAAAACTGACAACAGTTACAACGGTGACAACAGTGACAACAGCGAGAAAAGTGACAACAGTGACAACGGTGAGAACGGTGACAACGGTGACAACGGTGACAACAGTGTCAACAGTGACAACGGTAACAACAGGGACAACAGTGACAAAGGGTGAGAACGGTAACAAGACTGACAACAGTGACAAGAATTAAAATGGTGACAACCATGACAATGGTGACAACAGTTACAAAGGTGACAACGGTGACAACGGTGACAACGGTGACAACAGTGACATGAGTGAGAATGGTGGCAACGGTGTCAACAGTGACAATGGTTACATCGGTGACAACAGTGACAATGGTGACAACGGTGTCAACAGTGACCATGGTGACAACGGGGACAACAGTGACAACAGTGACATCGGTGACAACGGTGACAACAGTGACAAGGGTTACAACGGTGACAACAGTGACAACACTGACAACACTGACAACCGTGACAATGGTGACAACAATGACAATGATGACAACGGTGACGACAGTGACAACAGCGACTAAAGTGACAACAGTGACAGCGATGACAACGGTGACAACGGTGACAACGGTGACAACAGTGACAACAGTTACAATGGTGACAACAGTGACAAATGTGACAATCGTGACAATGGTTGCAACGGTGTCAACAGTGACAATGGTTACAACGGTGACAACAGTGACAACAGTGACAATGGTGACAACGGTGTCAACAGTGACCATGGTGACAACGGTGACAACGGGGACAACAGTGACAACAGTGACATCGGTGACAACGGTGACAACGGTGACAACGGTGACAACAGTGACAAGGGTTACAACGGTGACAACAGTGACAACGGTGACAACAGTGACAACACTGACAACCGTGACAATGGTGACAACAATGACAATGATGACAACAGTGATGACAGTGACAACGGCGACTAAAGTGACAACAGTGACAGCGATGACAACATTGACAACGGTGTCAACGGTGATAACAGTGACAATGGTGACAACGGTGACAATGGTGATAACAGTGACAATGGTGACAACGGTGACAACGGGTTCAACAGTGACAACGGTGACAACGGTGACAATGGTGACAACAGTGACAACAGTGATAACGGTGACAACGGTGACAACAGTGACAACAGTGACAACGGTGACAACAGTGACAACAGTGACAATGGTGATAACGGTGACAACATTAACAACACTGAGAATGGTGACAACAGTGACAACAGCGACAACGGTGACAACGGTGACAAAGGTGACAAAGGTGACAACGGTGACAACAGTGACAACGGTAACAAACGGCGACAACAATGACAAAGAGTAAGAACAGTGACAAGACTGACAACAGTGACAACGGTTAGACAGTGACAACAGTGAGAACGGTGACAACAGTTGCAACCGTGACAACACTGACAGCGGTGGCAACAGTGACAACGGTGACAATGGTGACGTTGCACAACGGTGACACTGGTGACAACACTGACAACGGTGACAACAGTGACAACAGTGACAACGGTGAAAAGGTTAAAACCGTGACAACGGTGACTACAGTGACAATAGTGACAATGGTGACAACATTGGCAACAGTGAGAAAGGTGGCATCGGTGAAAATGGTGACAATTGGACAACGGTGACAGCAGTGACAACAGTGAGAACGGTGACAACAGTGACAACAGTGACAACGGTGAAAACGGTGACAACAGTGACAATGGGGACCATGGTGACAATGGTGACAACGTAACAACAGCGACAACAGTGACAAGAGTGACAACGGTGACATCGGTGACAACAGTGACAATGCTGACAACAGTGACAAGGGTGACAACAGTGACAACTGTGAGAACAGTGACAAGAGCGACAACAGTGAAAATGGTGGTAAGAGTGACAACGGTTACAACAGCGACAACAGTGACAAAAGTGACAATGGTCACAACAGTGGCAATGGTGACAACAGCGACAACAGTGACAGCAATGACAATGGAGACAACAGCAACAGTTCGCAAGTGAAGATGGAAGTCAGTCTCCCTGTATCTGAATGTCTGCTAAAACAAACAATTTGTTTATATCGTGAAACTGCGAAGGAAAAGGAAAACGCCAGGTATTGAGGTTGGAAATATTTTGAATGTATAAGAAAACAATATTATTGGATTCACCCCATGTATGTTGGAGGAAAATGACATTACAGAATGTTGTCATTACCTCCTCAGCTGTTTGCTGCAGTGATCCAATCTTTCCTTCAGTGACATCAAGAGTTCTACCTACCAAACAAAAGTTAGAGTACTTTTTATTTTGGAAGGTAGACAAAACAGTTTGCAACCTGTATATTGTGGAAGCTTGCTTAGAGCTGGGGTTAGAACCAGTGACCCAGTCTCGCTTGGAAGTAGCTGACGCTAATCCAACTGAGCTTAAAAGAAAACACCAGGTGGAGGCTGCATACCATGTACCTCCACCCAAATTGTCAGGAGTACTGACACCTATTTAACTTTTATTAAATTCTACCTATGGAAAGTTTTGATGGGGGAAAGGGTATTAGAGATAGCCTGTTCACTGACCCCATATTTTATCTTTAGAGAACGTTGAGCACGCGTATGAAAATGGCTCATTGATTTTTGGAAAAAAAAACAACAACGTCTGCGTACAAGCTATTATTGGAGAAGGACAACTAAAGCCCATAATTAGCTCTAATATCCACGTGAAAATTCTCCATACTTTTCCTTTAAGAAAAAAAATTTTAGTTGAGAGAAACTGACCTGTAATATACACTGTGGCTCCTGCCTTGGCCAATATCAAGGCAATACCTTTACCAATCCCCCGAGATGCTCCTGTCACAAGGCACACTTTTCCAGACAACGCGGGCAGTTCTGATGTCATTGTGCAACTTGGTGATCTCTTTCATAACAATGGAGGATTAGAATTATTATTATACATTGTACTCACTATCTGTCTTCTCATAAGCTAATAAATGAACTTACAGTTAATATTGGGAATCAGTTCAACCTACAGATTAGTTATAGTTATCTGCTAGCAGATTAGTGACTAATCTGTAGGTTGCACGTGCAATGCATATGTCAAACTGCAACTTACTGGGTTCCATGCGATGCTGTGTTTGTCCTTATTTTCTTCAAAACAATTGTGTAATAAAACTGAATCTTATAAAATTCAGTTTATTTGTGATTTCTGATAATCAAGGTCTTCAGTAAGTGTCATCAGCCTCGGCCTTCGGCTCGGCTGATGACTCTTATTACCTTGACCTTGATTATTATGGATATCACAAAAATCCGACCCAATAATTCTTTAAAATATAGCTTTGCCTGAACGCAGGAGGATGGTATCAATATCTTGAGGTTAGCATTACACATAAAAAAAACCGTACAGAGCAAAGCAGTACTTAACTGGATTGTATTGTTCAGAAAAATTTAATATCGATACTCGTGGTTAAATCTGAGCTCTTGAAATGCTTGTATAAATGAAGTATGGTTATATGTGCTGGGTATACTGGGGATCAAACAAGAAACTGTTTTTTTTTTCTTATTTGATCCCCATACTCACCACATAGGCATAATTCATTTATACAAGCATTTCAAGAGGTCAGAGCTTTGGCATTTTTCCATTTTAGTGTCTTTAAAATCACTTAAAGACTCTTTCACATGAAAGAAACGTTTTGCCTCAGAAAGAATTAACTCACACCATTTTTGTATCTCAGAAGAACTGTGTTCAGCTAACTTAACCACAGGTACCCTAAGCTGAACTTTGTAATGTTGCAATAACATTGCATAACAGTGAAACTTATAAATACGAAAAAATATTTTGATCTCATGCATATGGCAAAATTATGACATAAGTTAAATTCATTATTATTTTCCAATAAAAGACAATCAACAAAGGACTCAAGATAAGTGATATTTAAAGATTTTTAAAACAATAATTACAATAATAATAATAATAATTATTATTATTATTATTATTATTAATTAACTAATTAATAAAAATAGTACGTACGGTTTGACTCTTGATTTTGAAAAACGAAAATCGATCGCTAATAATAAAATTAATAACTATTTACGAGAGTGGTGGCTCAATAAATCAACTGCATGCAAGCACAGAAAAAAAAACAGTAGGCTAAATGGCTTACTTGAAGTTATCCCTAGACTTGAGAAGCGCTTTGTTTTGATGATCGAAAGACGAAAATGACGAGTATCTGGACCTCACTTGAGTCTCTCCAAATTAAAATATACGCTGGAGACGAGCAAACAAAAAAAGCAAACGCTAAGGCGAAGTTCAGTTTACATCAGTTACGATGATCGCCCGGCAAAATGTTTATTTTTCGTGCGTGATCCTCTATACTCTCCGGGGTAGTGTCGGGCAAGACGAAACGACAAGGCCGAAAGGCGGAAACTCTTAAAAAGATTGTACATTTACCATATCTTTATCATTTTCTATCTGTGGATTTTAAACGCTTTTCATGGCTTAAAATTTATCGCATTTTTTTCGAAAACATCTGTCACGATTCATTTATTACGGGCTCCCCAAACTTCTCCCCCGTCCTCCCACCCACCCAGTTTTCCATGTAGTACTCATTACCAGTTTCCTTCAGAGCATGATGTGATGACTGAAACATGAGACGGTGGTCTCGATAAATCTACTTAGTTATAGAACATATTTTTCTTTAGAAGACGCACTTGAGTTTTGCTGGGGCGTTCGCAGAAGAACACAAAACTGTACCATAGTTGACCAGGACAAACATAAAATCAAACAAATTTAGGGACTGTGCAATAATTATCAGGAGGGGGGGGGGGGGGG